GAGAGGCTATTACTGATATGTTGAGAAATATAGGAAAAATAAAAAGTGCTGCTATATAAAGATATAAAAAATAAAAATGTACCTATTCTAAACTAAAATCATGTGTTTGTTCAATTTAATGAATTGATAGAATATACCAAAAAAATGTATTGTGTATTTGAAATATTGAAATATGGTCAAAGTTTTTTTATCATTTTAATTCGGTTATTATTTAATAAACTGTTAAAAATTGAATTTCTTCTGATTTTAAACAATAACTATTACTTAACTTTCTTGAAATATAACAACTCAACAAATTCTGGATAAATATTAAATACTATTAATTTATGATGTACGGCGATTTCAACATGGCAATTTTCAATAATTGTACTTTGCATAAGCCTTGACAGCATAATTTTCATCTCCATTAGCTTATATATGCCAAGTTAATGCCAGTATTTTTCAAGAAACACAAATTATATGAAATTTTATTCGAAAGGTCTGGAATACTGCTTCCATCAACTTAGTCCATAAAACTAGGATTTAATTTCTTGTCTATTACCAAAGCTTACTCGTTTACTAATTGCACTTAATGGGTAATTTCCAAAAGACCGGAACTCGAAATGAAAGTTACTGCTTACTGTGAGAAGATATGTTGCAGGCATATCCGTTCGAAAAAAAATTAAATATGAGGAGACACGCTCATCATTGTGACAATAATGAAATTTATTGCTGATTTAATTATTGATTTGACTAAATCCAATTATCGATTTAGAATTAACTAATTGATATAAAGCATGCCGCTTTGTGAAAGAATATACACATAAAAACACAAACACACATATATACACACAAAAAACACAAACACACATATATACACACACATTTATACACATAACTTATATACGCACACAAAAGCCCTTTTTGTTTGTTAATATGATGAATAACTAATATATTGAGCGAACTATTTGGTATTGGTATTTTGCTTTGAGGCAAGTTACATGAACTTTCCGATATGTGTAAATAATCGACTTAATCAATAAAAAATAAATTAATTTATTAGTGATTTAAAGTATTCCGAGTCGATTTGATACACATAATTGAAAAGGAACAAACACGTTAACTCGGAGTAATTTCTAAAAGAAAATGTTCAAATATCAATAATTTTTACAATTGAATCAGTTTCCGCAGGACTTTAATGGTGTAGTTTTAGTATGTTCATCAAGACCAAGTACTCTATCGTTATACCAAGTAAATCGTCTAATTTTAATTTTAACAAACGTCAAAAAAACTACTCATTTTATCAAACTTTGATGAATTTTTAAAATTAAACTACTTGTCGTAAGGTCGTAATATTTTAATAATTTTTTTTTCAACAGAAAATTACAAGAAAACGGCTTGGTAGGTTTTCACCTAAATTAATCAGTATCATTGCCAACTAGTATCTTTCGAACAGTTTTTGATTTTTTAAAATCGATTCGGTAGTATGAGCTTAAATGTGCTATAATTGCTTTGATAAATTAAAGATTTTGTGAAAAATGATATTTTTACTGGGTACGGTTGTGCTAGGGTACGGTAGTGACAGTTGTCATACAGCTAATTAATGCTGTTTTTGAGATATGGTCCGAAGGAAGAAAGATAACGTATGTTTTTTCGAACAAGTTTCTCTTATTGTATTGAGTCAGCTTAATTAGTTTTTGCGTAGATAATTAGACTCAGTCATAACGATGCCTTATTTTCAAAAGTGTGCGTTGGGTACGGTTGTGACATTACAAGAAAACGGCTTGGTAGGTTTTCACCTAAATTAATCAGTATCATTGCCAACTAGTATCTTTCGAACAGTTTTTAATTTTTTAAAATCGATTCGGTAGTATGAGCTTATATGTGCTATAATTGCTTTGATAAATTAAAGATTTTGTGAAAAATGATATTGTTACTGGGTACGGTTGTGCCAGGCTACGGTAGTGACAGTTGTCATACAGCTAATTAATGCTGTTTTTGAGATATGGTCTAAAGGGAGAAAGATAACGTATGTTTTTTCGAACAAGTTTCTCTTATTGTATTGAGTCAGCTTAATTAGTTTTTGCGTAGATAATTAGACTCAGTCATAACAATGTCTTATTTTCAAAAGTGTGCGTTGAGTACGGTTGTGACATGTGGTTGTGGATCTGGTCCTTTTCGGGTGAAGATTAAACAAATAAAGAAAAGCATAACTTAACTACGACAAAAAACAAAAGAGAATGAGAAAGGAAAATTTAATACAAAAAAAATCACAAAGATTTCTTGTTAACTTTGTGCAAAAAATATGTTTTGCTGTATTTACACCATTTTCATAAGCTTTGTTTTATTATGTTCATAAGCTTTGTTATTATGTGCATAAGCTTTGTTTGAATAATTATGTTGTGTTGTGTTACATATTTTTGACAATAAAAGTAGTTTAGGTCCACAAAAGTAATTTTGGTGTTGATACCTGTTGTTTTTAATCTATTTTTATGCCTGTCACAACCGTTCCTGGGGGTGTAAATGGTTGTGAAACTTGCCCTTCTCTTGTATGAATTGATTTTATGACTAATCGTATTTAAGGACAGTATATTAGCATTTCCACATAGACAAATGTTTAAATTACCATTTACATCTCTCCCAACTAACTGATAAATTAACAAAATTATGATTATTCAAAAAAAAAAACTGGCACAACCGCAATTCACAGATCAAAAATCTGTCCGCGGAAAGTGTTTGCCGCATGCGGTCGCCGCCGTAAGCGCCAAGTGCCTAACGCCCCTATAATGAACGCGCAGACAGTGTCTTCTATTAATCACGCGGTCTTAACGCGCCGGTTTTACCTCACATTGTCTCGCAATCTGTAACATCCGAAACCGACGCATTTAAAGCGTCACACTTAATCGGGATTAAGGCGAACCAGAAAAAAACAACAACACATGTGCTTCCAGAAGCGGTCGATGGATTTATTACCAGTCAATGAGCTGGATGGGTTCCGCTATTCCATAACTTATAAGCAATATTAATCAGCATATATTTGTTTCATTCCGGTATAAATAGGGAATTAGATTAATGAAAACAATAGGGTTGGGTGGGGCACAAAGGTTCAATTTAACTTTGAGTAATACGTCTTTAGTCTAAATCAAATGAACTGCTTCACTACACATAACGCGTATAAAGCAAGCAATTATCGAACAATGTTCAATAAAATTCTCAGTTAATTTGTAATTAAAGAATGTGTTTTTTACTGTTTTTCTAAAATTTGTCATCTTTTTCTATTTACCCCATAGGCGGGGTAAAATGTGACAACCTGGGGGCAAACAGATCCAATGTCTTATTTTTAATTTTAAAGGGATTTTATAAAGGTATTTTGTCAGAAATATTTATCAGCAGAGATGAAATAACTATAAATTTTATTTATCTTTTTCAAAATTCTTTTTTTTAATTTTCATGAACCTTTTATTTTATTTGGCTTGTTATACATCTTTTTCCCTCTACCTTCAAATCTTGTTGTTAATCCTATCTTTACTTGTTTTCAAGCTATTGGTGGACCTTTTTACCCGGTGACCTTTGAGCCCCGCTCTAGTTCTCTAGTTCAAATAGTTCCGAAATATTGTAGCATTTTAAAAGTCTACAGTCATTATTTGCTTTATTTCAGTTTGTATAAATTATTTTTCATTGTATTATTTAGTAATACATAAAATTGTTATTTATTTAATCGTTCAGGGAAGCAAATTTGTTCTCGTTTCAAATTGTAGGCGGACGACTTTTTAATTATTGAGCAATTAAATTAATTATTTTACCTAATATAACTGCTGAAAGACAATATAAAAAAGTATAAAATATCCAATAAAAAACATGTTCAGACAAAGTTATTTCATTTCTATTTCACTGGAAATTTTATATTTTTCCTAGTTTGCTGTATATATTTTATTATACTTATTAATTTCCCGTAGGGCAAGTTTAGTAAAATCGCAAGAAAATCGAAAATGAAATTTTTTATATATCTTTACGTTTCAGAGTTTCTGAACATTTTGGCATACCTTACTTAGAATAAATGGATGTATGTGTGTGTGTGTTTGTGTGTGTGTGTGTGTGCGGATACAAATTTTCGTCGACGATTTCGGGAATACGGTTCAACCGATTTCTGATTAAATTTTTGGGAAAGCAGGTTCAGCGGTTATGGATTTTCAATAAAAATAAGTTAAAAAGACATATTTACATCAAATTATCAGATATTTCATAGAGATTTTAATAATGTGTACACATTTTGTGTAAATTTTTTTGGGTTCCGTACCAAGATTTTTAATTACGGCACGGGAACTTCCAGCAATTTGCCTTAAGGTACGATGCCATGCACCCCACTAGTTTCAAAATATTTTTATAGACAAATTATGTTTTATGTTCATTTATCCGTTTTACATTTCAGTCAATCTTTTAGTTAATGAATTGCTTTCGAAACGTCAAACTATTCTGTAGTAGAAAATTTATGGGCTTTTCTCTCAAAATAGTTTGTTCAACATAACACACCAATATATTTAAGTGTAGTTTTTGTAAATTAAAATTCATGTATTTTAATCTAAAGTTCTATAGCATTTTATATTTTAATCATATTTGTTTCAAATTCTGAAAGTATTATCAAATTATGTTAATTATCTTAAGTTTTAAAATATGTATATAAACATTTTACAACTAAAACTTCTCTATTTAACATCACAATATGCACTATTTTATATTAAACATCAATAATGCTTTCTATTTTTTGATGAACTGTTTATAAAAAATGAATTTCCAGGATATATGGCTTTTATTATATGAAGTTGTGGTGATGGCTGCTTGTCACATAATGATAATAAATATTTTACCCATACAAAGTGCTTTCTGTGTTTTTTTGCTAACGCCTGTAAGTTGCCAAAAAAGTCAGTTAATCGAAGTGCTTTTGAGCAAATAAATGTTCATCTGTGATTTCAAGCCGTGCAAATCAGTTCACGATTGATAAGACTTACATGTTTTTCTTTCAGATCTTTAGTACGAATTTCAACGAAGCAGCTCGAAACATAAATAGAGTATGTATAAACGATGAATTCTACAAAACAAGTAATGAAGAAAAGGTAAACATTTAACATATTGGTCTATTGGTTTATTTTCATTTCACTTCAAATACAAAATCTTTTGATATTTACGTAGAATTGAACATAAGTATTCTCACTGTAAAAGATTTTGCATTTCGAACAGTGTTAGCGGCATTTATTTTAGATCCAGATATTTATATCTTCTAAATCTAGAAAGGAATTCAGATCTAGATTTATATGCATTATATACACAAGATACGCACATAAATTACACCGTTCGCATTCGTTGACTTTATTGCCACAAATTTAGAAAATATGAATAAAATTTATAATAATACGCGTTAATCAAAATATTTAATTCATTGGAGAGTAATTGGATCAAAGTTCGTGGAAGTGATTATGGATTTATGTAAAAAGATTATCAAAATGCCAGATGTATTTATTATTATTTTCGTCTATACAATCATGCTAAATCTAATTTTCGCATGGTGTTTTAATATTTTTGGGTATATATTGGTTTTCTCCTATATTCTTCTATATAAACTACTGAAATAAAGTTTTGTAATTAAATGTTGAATTAGAAGAAAATATGAAAACTGTTATATATAACTCCCATTGCATGGTAAATATAAGGATTTTTATTTATTTTTTAACAAACAGTTTGAACTATGTTCTAACAAAGTTCTATGAGATGTGATATTATTACTTAACTGCATGTTTTAGAAGAACGTTTATAGAAGGCAGTCTATAATGGTTTGCCTACATATATCAGATATATTTTTTATTAGAATTTTTCTAATCGTGATAATAAATTTGATAGAACTTAATACAACAATGCCAAGATGAGACAAATTTTCAATAAAAAACATAATTTCATCGATATTTTTATTTTTTGTGCCCGCTAGTAGGTAAGCGGCTAGAACGACAGGATCTGAATCAGAGGTACCAAGTTTGATCCCCGCTTCGTGCAGCCTGATATCAAGCAGTAGTGACATCGATTATCACTTGTAAATATAGATAACAATATGTTTCCACGTGGAAATAGCCTAGCTCCGGCTTTGGTGAAATGATATTGTAGAACGAAGCCAATGATATTGTTTGCTATTACAAATATTGTAATAGTAAACTTCATCACACAGAGATTGGAAAATTGTTTGGTATGTCATCTATAGAAACGACGTATTCTTAAGTCAAATCAGCACAACAGCTTATAGGATAGTTTAAGTTCTGATTGTTGTTCAACTGAATGAATAAAAAAATGATATTTTCAAGTGAAACCGGATATCACCGCTGTTTGATATCCAAAAATGTGAAGAGTCCGAAATGCGAGTTTGAACTTTAGACTTCGTGATTACGCTACGGGGCAGTGCTACGAATCTCCCATAATTATAAGTTCATCCGACTTTTAACTGATTTCCAATAAAGCAAATTCTATTGATCCACTTATTCACGCCCCCGTGAAACTTCTCAGAATAAATCCGATGACACCGCTTGCACTAGCATCTGCGCAAACAAGACATGCAAAGAGTCGTTTCTAATTCATAATTCATATTTCGTATTAATTCCAGATAAGTGTTTACACAAATAAAAATGTATACATCACACGTCGACTTTTGAAAACATACTAGATGTAATGATGTTTATCATACTCTTGGACTTCGTGCCCTATAATGCACAACAACTAGATCAAACAAACTCTCGGCCCGTGTGTGCGTAGGTACCACTATGACAAACAACAGAATTATAAACAGCCAGGCTTCATGTGAAAAGTTCACTCGTTCGCCGTTACTCATAAACACTTACTTCACATGCACACCAATTTTATGTATATGGATATTTGGCTTATACGAAAGGTAAATTCTATTTATTACTATAACTTCTATTCACTAACCAAACTATATTTTGAAACATTTGAGTAAAAACATCCAACAAAAATGCAGCACTTAAGCATAGTTCGAAGTATGAAAACAGGCTGACTGAACATTGGGGGTCGTCCATTATTCACGTGATCGATTTCTGGACCTTGGTGATACGTGATGATACTTAAAATTAGCCCCCCCCACCAAAATAATCACGTGTATTTTCAGTAACTAGAAAAACTCGTGAAATTTTGGAAAATTTTCTAAAAAAAGAGTTTTTTGTTTCAAATTCAGGTAAAAACTAATTAGACGTGATATCTTACTAGATCTCCTTCTCACCTCGTAATATTTTGTGATTTTTGTCAACTTTCCTTTTTTTTAATCCTCACGTGGTAAATGGACGCCTCCTTACTTAGATCAATTTTATAGCAAACGTTTAAAAAAAAATCCTAATGAAATATTTTAAGTCTACCAATAAGTAGAAATTTTTCTAACTTTTATTTTGAATATCATACCTAAAGATCGGCATCACTGGAAGTTTTTAGATTTTTTATAAACAGTTTGTTTAATGTTTTATGTATAATCAAGCAAGTACAAAAAAACTTAAAAACCTTAATAAAATCAAATAATAATATCTTCCCTTTAAAATATTTTTTAATTTTTATTAGATCTATCAGTCTATATTAAATGAATACTTTATAAAATGAGTATATAAAACTAATAACTATATATAATGATACGCTCTAAAAATTAGCAGCGAGGATAGTAAAGAATGTAGATTGGATTTGGTCGTTTATTAGTTTAACTTAAAATAATTCATTTTAATCATTTTATACTTCAGTTTTGAAATTGATTTAATAACTTCTCATCTGAGATAATAGAGTTTGTAATTACTCTATATCTATTTTTACGACATTTTTAATATATTATACTAAAGGTTAATGATAAAATTCAACTGACAGTTAAATTTTATCCAGACGATTTTTTGTCGATTTAAAAAAATATTAACAATCATTTATTCAACAGTTCACACCCATAACACAACAAAAAAGTTATGTTTTTTATATCGGTTTAATTAGCAGTGAAACTCCTAAACATATTGAAATACTTTAAATTATAATGTGTATTCAAGAAAAATTTAAAACAATATATTCAATAAAAAGAATTAAAATATATTCAACATAAAAAATAATAGGAAATACATTCAACAAAAATATATTCAATAAAAAATTAATTCAATAAAATAATATTCATTAAAAAATAATAAAAAATAATAAAAAATAATAAAAAATAATAAAAAATAATAAAAAATAATAAAAAATAATAAAAAATAATAAAAAATATATTCGTCAAAAAATAATTAAAAAAATATTCATCAAAAATAAATAATATATATATTCAATAAAAATGATAAATTTACGTAATTTCAATAAAATTATGAACTGAAAGAATATAATCCCAAATTTAGAAGTTGAAAAAAAAAAATATAAAATATATTTTTTTTTATAATTCATTTTTGTTAATCAAGATTTTAATGTCTTATTTATTACATGAAATAATTTAAGTCACAATAACTCATTATTGCAATTTTCGAGTTTAAACCTTTATAAAGTATGAAACAAAACTGCAAAACTTTATTTAAAATTTAATAAATAATTTCATTAAATTTATTGAGAAAAATATTTGTCAGAAGTGGGATTCGAACCCACGCCCTCATAGAGGACCAGAACGCTCGTAACCAATTCGATTGGCAAGGTAACCTTGAGTCTGGCGCCTTAGACCGCTCGGCCATCCTGACATATAAAAATCCGTGCGTAATACCAGATTTCGAATCAGAATTTGTTTTTTGGTTTAATCTAATGACATTTTTAGTGATTATGTGTGAAAATTATAGATAATATCCATTGAATTTAATAGTTAAATTTAATAAATAACCCATGGTGAATAAAAAGATAAAATTTACAATAATATGTATTTATTAGGCTGTCTATGATCACTTGGTAGGGCATTCTCTACATTTTAATAAATATTTTTTTTACTTATTTGTCACAAAATATTGGATATTAATTTTATTATTAATTAGCAATCAAAGTTATAATAATTAATATTCACAATTTTTTTCAATAGTTTTATGCAAAATTTAGAATAGTATTATTAATCTCTGATATTTTACGGTTCAGTTGTGAAAACAATAGGAAAAACATTTTCTGAATATAATAATTATAATCAATTAAGTATTACAAAAGTAAAAAAATAATGAATATATAATAAAAGTAATTCAATTATTTGTTAAAATAATTGAATAATGAATAGGATAAGAATATGAATATAGCTTTTTAACGACACACAAACTTGGAAAATGTTATTATGTATATCGAATATAGATAAGATTCACAGACAGGTTATAGGTCAAATATTAAAAAGTGAAAAGTTATTGCTTTTTATTTTCTGAGCCATATCACTTGATGTGTTTATCAAACAACACCATGTTATATGGTTATGTAGAACTACTCTTCATAAAATTCTTCAACCTTGTTTCAATTTTTTGTTAGTCAAGCACTTTGTGAGTTTCTTAAGATTAAGTTGAGAATATTATAAAATTTTAGCATCCGCAAATAACGCAAAATATTAAATAATGAAAAACTTCTTAATGGGAAATATCTCGCATTGTATGATATTACAATGTTATTTAATCACTATATTCCGCATCAAACAATATTGTCTCGGGGCTTAAAGGTCCGCGAGTAAAAAGTAAACCACCAATATTTCAAAAACAAGTAGAGTCAAAAATGTATTAACAATATTTGAAAGTAGAGGGTGACTGATAACCAGCCATCATCTTGATACTTACGTCATCGCTATCTGGAGATAAATGGCAATATTTAAAAATTCATACCAGAAATATTTTCTTTATATGTTAGTTTTTTTTTGGTTGTGAGCACTATTGTTTTGTTTACGAGACCTCAATATAATTCTTGGGTGTACGTTGTTTAATTGTTTTATAATATGTATTGATAATTTTAAGTTAGATTCAACACCTCTATAAAAGCTTTACACGTGGGAGGAGTAAAAAAGACCAACTGAACCTTTTTCCTGACAGAGGTGTGAACAATAAAAAATAGTAAATAATAAAGTAAATTGAAAAAGTAAACTGCTGATGAAAATTTTTGACGAAATACC